TTAGGTAAATAATATTATTATATAACAAATTATTAACAGCCGACTGTTAATTTATTGATTTACATTATGGAAATGAAAAAGACTACAAATTTCTAAGAATCAAAGTGCACAAAATTGCAGGAATATTTTTGTTTTTTAGTAGATAGGGTAATCCCAAAATTTTATTTTCTATCCATGATAAATATCTTTAATGGTTTTAAAGATAATAAATAAGAGCTGTTTACCTGAGGAATAATATTTTCTCTAAATTCATCAATAAAAAGAGGTGGAGGAGGCAAGTCACATGTCAAATACAGAAATGGTGACTCAGTTACGACTTCTTGGTACTCCGGTGTGTTCATTAAATTTCGTTTTTGCTTATCATCTAAATCAGTTGAAGGAATTTTGCGTGTGTATACTCTCATTTGGCCTAGAAAAGACTTATAAATAATAGAGCTGTCTTTCTTCTTTGTACCATTTAGAGCTTTGTGAAGTGCATTTAAAAACCACGAAAGAAAATCAATTGGATCACCTAAAAATAGGATGAAAATCAAAACTAGAAATAAAAAAAGACAATACACATGACTATACCTTGCTGCGTAAATTGAAATTTCTTTCTACTCCAAAGTACAACTGCTTGAAGCATTTCATGAGGTGATACATGAGCCTTAAAATTTCGAGGATTCCATAATTTTCGCATCAATTCACCAAATCGTTGGACTAAGGCAAATGAAGAATCCCCAGGTGGTCTCTTAACTTTACTATAATTCTCTTCTCTTAAAAAGTAATCTCTCAGAGGTGCAACATGTGATAATGCCTAAAAGTTATGTTGACAATTTCTACTTTTACATTTTATACTTTGATAACTTGCCTGCAAAACAACATTACAATAGTCATTAGCTTTGATATTATTAAGACCAACTATGCCAGGCATATACAAAGATCCATCAATAGCTCTTGACATTTTTGTATTTGTATCTAAATGAAATATTTGTTCTTGAGTAAAAGTAGGATTTAAAACATATTTGATATCTTCCAGGGAGGAGTCTAAAGGCAGAGCAAAATATTAACCTCCAAACAGAATTAACAATACTATTTCTCCAACCTATTATTTCATAATTGTCTGGTAAACAATAAAATTTTAGGGTATGCAAATTTAAATAAACGTGATGACTTTCTGCAACAGAATGTGTATAGGCATGTGTGTTTGTGCCTCTTCCTTGGAAGTATTTCCCACATACAAGGCATGCATAAACATTTATTCGTGATAATGATACTGAGCACAGTTTTTCAAAATCAAAATCTAAATACTGCCTATTAATGGTATCCAAATAAGGACAAAGGCGTACTTTTGTATCTAAAATTTAAACATATTTAGCACTAATAATGATAATACATACTGTTATATTTTTACTTGTTTCTACTGGTTCTAGCTTAATATTATTTTCTATAATGTTATCATTTTCCAGCTTTGCTTTTTTTAAAGAAGGGCTTCCATTACTTTCACGCATTTTTTATTAAAAACGCCTTATAAATCAACTTTGTATTTATTCTAAATCTAAACTAATAAAATGCTAATAAACCTCGGTAACCTCTAAATGAATTTGAGAAACCAACTTTAAACTATATATATTTCAATATGTTGGACAAAACCATCGAATCATCTATGGATAAAACATGGTTATGAACATCGACGTTAGTAATGGACATGCCTTAGCGGTCAGAATTGTGGTAAAACAAAAGAAAGAGATAGAACGAAGTTTCGGACAATATTCATCTCTCTCACGATAGTGCGTAAGCGTGTCAGGAAAGACATAGCACTAGTCCAAAACCATACGTCATCTCCCTCACTTTTCGAGCCAAGAAATTATTACGATATACGGCTAAGGCACGTCCATTAATATATGTCTATGGGTAAGGAGTACTATCTCTGTAGTGAAAAAGTGTCCGTCAAAGTGCGTTAAATTAGGGTGACGTCACAGTAACAATAGGGCAAATTTCAAATCATGCGCCAAAAATTATTAGATTAGGATAGAAAAATTAACAAGGACAAAATTACTTTAAACTACGTAAATAGTTGAGGTTTGGAGGTTTCAAGGAAATTTTTATTACAGAGTGTTTTTATGATTGTAATGGGAGTGGGGAAGAGATTGTGCGCTGAGCGGTATGTTTTTATTAGTACACAGTATTTTATTAGATGTTTTATACGTATCGATGGATGACGGGAGAAGGGTGTCATAGTTGCCAAACAATCCTGTTTAATGACGAGTGGGAGAAAATTCCTCCTCGGATAGTGAAGCAGACGAGGTTGGAGATGATGGATCTGTTGACGCCTAGGGCCTCCAGAAAGGTGTCGTTCCTGGAGCACCAGGTGCCGCGGGTTCCCACGATGAGGGCATGTATGTGTAGGGGGCGGTCGGGGAGAGAAGCCTTGACGGTATCTAGGAAGTTGGTATCTGAATACGTCGCAACTTTGTGGTTGTTGGCAAAGTTGAGCGGCTCTGGACGCTCCCATGAAACGCCCACGTCGGCAACGATGGCGGTGGTGTCCTTCACGAACAGAAGGTCCGGTTTCCGTTGACGGCTGTCGGGTGTCCAGAACCTTGGTTCGCTCCTGGTTTCCCAGCTCTTCTTTTTAGCTGCATCTGAGAGGATCCCCACCAGGTTGTCGTGTCTCCTTATGCGCTCGTAATGCATTAGTGGACGTCTTTGGAGAATGTGGCAGGTGGTTTGCACGGCACGACAACCGGCTCTGCAGCGGCGTTGTTCAAAGGGGAGGCGTTGGTTGTGGAGGCTTCCCAATGTTGGTAGGAACCCAGCTGGGAGTTGATTGGCCTTGATGTAGGTGGATCCATCCCGGAAGGATGAAGGGGATCGGATCCAGTTGGTAACTTGTGGCGGTGAAGAATGTGTGACCAATTCGGAGCATGTGGCGGATGCTTCAAGACGGTTTCGCCCCGTTGCTCCCTCTGTAATCCATATGGTTAGCGAGGCGTTCAGCAAGTTGAGCACGTGTGCCGAATACAGTATGGGAAGAAGCTGTGGATCGTCGCGCTGTGTGAGGTTGTGAAGGCGCTTAAGGAGGATGTCTGGCATGCGGGCTCCAAAGCAGGGAAGTCCAAACTTGCCAGCCTTGGTTTCGGCGTACAGGAAGGCGTTGCACGTTGACGAGGTCAGGTGGAGGATTGCTTTTACTGTACGGCGGATGACTTTGTCTACCAGATCTAGTGCTCGACCGGATACAGAAGGGATCTGAAACTGATAAAAGAACTTGAGAAGAAGGTAAGTCGATATCAGTTCCAGTTTTTGCCACGGCTTCAACGGGACGTTTTTGATACGATGCAGAGCTGTGGAGATGTCGGTGGGGCTGGGTGTCTGGGTCTGAGTTCCCGTGGGATGGAATCGGAACCCAAGGTATTTGNATATATATTCTTAAAGGGCCGTAATTTATATTTTATCCGGGGTGAAGTTACTGCTAGAGCGGACGCTGCATCAAGATTTGTTAAATATATGTATGATTGTAATAACACTAACATTTTGGTAATTATTTGGTTTAGCCGTGCCAGCTCAATCTCCTTGAAAATATACTATTTTGTAGAGCTCGTCATGCATGCGAACAAGAATATACATATAGCTATGTTGGGCGCGAAAGTGAGATCTTCATAGTGTTTTTGAGCTTCAAAAATGCAAAAAACTAATGATTCATAATTGATATTTTGTAAATAACTAGTGTTTGACAAGGTTGGGGGAGGGTTTCCTTCGTTCACAACTAACAATATTATTAATACTCATGCCTTGTAACTATATTAAATTTCTCTCATGATGCTGATTTGAGGCAAATTTGTTATACATATATACAGGGTTATTCAGGTTATCCGACACGGAAGATTACGACTATGTTTTTTAGACTTTTAAATTTTTTTAATGTGGGGGTAGATAAAGATCCATAAGAGGTACATTTCAAAATTATTTTCGTAATATACAGTGTCCGAAAAACACAAAACGTATCAGTTGTGTTTTTTTAAATGGAACACCCTATATATTTTTACATTTTTGTAAACAAACCTTAAGGATTTTGAAATATTTTGAATTTTGTGAAAATGTAGTTTAATGTAGTTTAACTTTTAAATTCTCAACGTGTATTACGACTTTAAGAACCAAATTTAAACTGAAGCCTGTTAATTGATTATGTTTTGTATCACCATTGTGAAAAATTGACTAACGTATACAGAATTTCCAAAAATTATGAATAAATAAATACAAGTTTTAAACGACAATAACTTGTTTAGTTTAAATGGAACACCCTGTATTTTATGTCATCAGCAGATGTAAAATTAAATTCTCTAGCGAATACTATTAGACCTTCCTACAGCTAACTGTTGACGTCTTTATGAAAATGGCACATTTTCAGAACGCAAAGAGAATTTAACAAATTTGATGTAATTTATCAAATCAACCATGGCATTTTGACAAGTCAAAATTACATAAAACTCAGCTGGTATAAACCAAAAAACACTTGAATAACATCACTTAAGATTTATGGACTAGCTTAAAGGAAGAAAGCAAAAGACTAATGGAAATACAACAAATAATACTGCCACATAGCATGCATTCAACATGACGACTGCCTGATTCTAAACGTAAACATATTACCTGATCTAAGTCTTCAGCAACATTGGTCAACATTTGATTGTACGATTCTTAAAGCTTCTCTGTAATGTGCTGCTTCATATTCTCTGGCGTTGTTGGAAATGTGTTATAAAAACAATTCCTTTTACATATCCCCATAAAAAGAAATTCGGTGGAGTTAAGTCTGGCGATGAAACGTTTTATGGGGATGTGTAAAATAAATTGCTGAAGCAGCACATTACAGAATCATAGATCCACAAATGTTGGCCAATGTTGCTAGAAGACTTAGATCAGGTAATACGTTAATGTTTAGAATTAGGCAGTCGTCATGTTGAATGCATGCTATGTGGCAGTATTATTTGTTGTATTTCCATTAGTCTTTTGCTTTCTTCCTTTAAGCTAGTCCATAAATCTTAAGTGATGTTATTCAAGTGTTTTTTGGTTTATACCAGCTGAGTTTTATGTAATTTTGACTTGTCAAAATGCCATGGTTGATTTGATAAATTACATCAAATTTGTTAAATTCTCTTTGCGTTCTGAAAATGTGCCATTTTCATAAAGACGTCAACAGTTAGCTGTAGGAAGGTCTAATAGTATTCGCTAGAGAATTTAATTTTACATCTGCTGATGACATAAAATACAGGGTGTTCCATTTAAACTAAACAAGTTATTGTCGTTTAAAACTTGTATTTATTTATTCATAATTTTTGGAAATTCTGTATACGTTAGTCAATTTTTCACAATGGTGATACAAAACATAATCAATTAACAGGCTTCAGTTTAAATTTGGTTCTTAAAGTCGTAATACACGTTGAGAATTTAAAAGTTAAACTACATTAAACTACATTTTCACAAAATTCAAAATATTTCAAAATCCTTAAGGTTTGTTTACAAAAATGTAAAAATATATAGGGTGTTCCATTTAAAAAAACACAACTGATACGTTTTGTGTTTTTCGGACACTGTATATTACGAAAATAATTTTGAAATGTACCTCTTATGGATCTTTATCTACCCCCACATTAAAAAAATTTAAAAGTCTAAAAAACATAGTCGTAATCTTCCGTGTCGGATAACCTGAATAACCCTGTATATATGTATAACAAATTTGCCTCAAATCAGCATCATGAGAGAAATTTAATATAGTTACAAGGCATGAGTATTAATAATATTGTTAGTTGTGAACGAAGGAAACCCTCCCCCAACCTTGTCAAACACTAGTTATTTACAAAATATCAATTATGAATCATTAGTTTTTTGCATTTTTGAAGCTCAAAAACACTATGAAGATCTCACTTTCGCGCCCAACATAGCTATATGTATATTCTTGTTCGCATGCATGACGAGCTCTACAAAATAGTATATTTTCAAGGAGATTGAGCTGGCACGGCTAAACCAAATAATTACCAAAATGTTAGTGTTATTACAATCATACATATATTTAACAAATCTTGATGCAGCGTCCGCTCTAGCAGTAACTTCACCCCGGATAAAATATAAATTACGGCCCTTTAAGAATATATATNAAATTAAATCAAATTATATCGATTTTAAAAAAGCATACATTTAGAAAGAAACATGTAACATAGATAGATAGATTGGCAATCAAGTAGTACAAAACAGAAATTAAATTAGATGCTATTAAAAATATGCATTAATACACTAGCAATCACAATGCAATTTTAAAAATAAAATCAATTGTACAAAAAATGCAAAAAACTGTTAAACTATTCTCAATTTTTTGTCACATCTTTTAAATTTATTTGATCAACAATTCTATGTTCAATTGTCAAAATGACAAAACTATTAAAACGATTTTGTATAATGGTCGAATGTAAAGAATTCGTAATTAATTTTAAAAAAAGCTATATGTGAAATTGTCTATTAATTGGGTATTTAACACATCAATATCTTTCTCATTTTTTCACATATAGCCAAAATGCCACCCCAAATTTTGGCGCAATGTTTTCAATCTGAAATACCTTCCTTTTGAAACACTTACTTTATGCATGTCAAAAAATAAACAGTAGTAGCAAAGTATCTTTATGTAATTTATAGGAATTTTTCAGTAACAAATATGTTTACATAACTATTTATAATTATAGTTTTCAAGACATAATAATTAGTAAAATTTTGCGGCATTAACTTAAAAAAAATACGCAGACACCAAAATAAATTACAGAATAGTTATGTTTAATACATTTTGTACTTCTCTTTCAGATCCGTTGGGGAAACTCTGAATTCTGATTACATCTGTACTACATTTCTTTTTACTTTTGTAAGAATAAATACTTAGTGCAGAGTACACACTTTATTTCAAGTTATAAATAAAACATTTTGTCCAATAAAAAAGGATTTATTTTTGAATTAGGTACATAGCTTATAAATGTCTCTCACACAAAATTAAAACCTGTAGAGCTTATTAAACTTAACACGAATATGTAATTAAAGTGTAAAAGTATATCTGCTTGTCATTCATTCCTTTTAGCTCGGTATTTTGTTAACTCATTGGGGAAAATTCGTGTAAGCTCTAAAAGCATATTAGCTTTAAATTTCCGATACGCATCAATTTTGCCTTTTACTTGTTCATTCTTTGTCAATGCTTTTTCAATGCAGTCTTTTGTGTATAGTTGAGGATTCCTCCCTTGATCGATATAACTACAAATTGTAAATAAACTTACATAATAATTTTTAACTTTCTCACAAGGATGGAAAAAAGGGTGGAAGAACTATTAGGGGAAGATCAATTTGGGTTTAGAAGAAATAAAGGAATGTGGGAGGCCATTCTAGCTCTACAGGTAATAATAGAGAAAACGATAAAAAAAGGAAATAGTGCATACATAGGATTCTCAGATTTAGAAATTTTTTTTTTTAACAATGTTTAATGGGACAAGATGTTAAATATACTTAAAAATGTAGGGATGAGTTACAGAAATAGAAGACTGAAACTTAGTTCGTATTAAAGAGCAACAGACAGTTATAAAACTGGAGCAGCAACATAGACTAGTAAATAAGAAGGGAGTCAGACAAGGATGCACACTGTCACCGCTACTTTTTAATATATACATCGAAGACACGATCATCATCATTAAAGACAGTACAACTGTAGGGATAGATATGCAGGGACAATGAATCAGTATGCATAGGTTTGCAGATGATATAACAGTATTAGTAATAAGCAAGGAGTAAGATATAGCTCAAAATAAAATAGAAGCGGTATTGACAAAACAGTACTGCATGAAGATAAATACAAATAAAACAAAAAGACTGGTATACAAGGGAAGCAAAAGCAGGGAAAGTTGCGAATATAAAGATAGTGGCTGATTTGCGGTATCTAGGAAGTCAGATAAGTCAGGACAGAAGGAGTAGTAGTGATAAAAAGCAGAGGAGTGCAGGGTTGATAAAAAGTCACTTCTATGCTCGCGAATGGTTAATTTATAAACATGAAAAAGGTTGTTAAACGTGTACGTTTGGAGCGCGGCACTATACAGGTTTGAAATATGGACTGTGGGCGCGGCAGAAAAGAAAAGGTTAGAAGCATTTAAAATGTGGTGTTACCGATGAATGATGAGGATAACGTTAATAGAGGTTCTGTTTTTAGGGAATTGCAAAGATTAGCTTAAGATAGGAAAGGGTGGAGGTGCATGCCCATCCAGTCTTAGGACTGACGACCTTAAGATGATGAACTTACTCAAAAACCTCTAAAGGAACATGAACATCTTGAACCTGAGATTTCAATTTATCAACTTCTTGAAGACCATGGACCAAAGACTGTCTACAATTTATGCCCATAAATATGCATATTATTTTAAATAACTGTTTACTTACAATTTCTGATTCAACACTGTTTGACTCTGAGGTTGAAAATCACTGACAATAATATGTATTTGTCTAACGTTTTCTATAAACAGCTCAAGCTGAGTTTCTAGATTTTCCAAGGACGTCATGCTTATATTCTACCAAATTTGTAACGTAAAGCAGTAATATATTATAATTGATAGTACCTATTTTCACTTAATGAATTATTATTTTAAATGAAAAAAGATGTATGTAAATTGATACGCGCTATTAACAAATTCGTGAAATTAATTGTAACATAATACTGTTATTTGTAATAAGAATATTTAAACATTTGCTTCGTTATTTGTCGTCTAAATGTTTTCAAGTGAATTTTTTTTGCCATACCATTACTCAGAACATCCACAAAATCATCATCAAAATCAAAAACATCATAAATCCACAAACTTTAGAAAGCAGAGAATTACTAAAATATGCTATCTTTGTTACTTATCACTGCAATAACAATAGATAATGACAATAACCTTGCCTATGACTTCAATAAAAGGTATCATCATAGATAAGTATCACTAGTATTAATTGGAAGTAGCTCCGTATCCGATATCAGATATGCGTTCCACGTCCGTCCAACTACAATGGCTCCTATCGAAACAGTAAATCTTATTATTAGTTATTAAGTTCTAACCTTCAATGGTGGACGTCTACGGAAGTAACTACAGCAGCTACTATGTACCGGTTAACTTTTTATTTTCAATGAAGCAATCTAAGTATGTTTTCGAAAAGTTGGTATCAAAACTTCTTTTTTTAATTTAAGACCCTTTACAGACGTATTCAAAATACCACTTATTCAGTAGTTTTTGAATAAACTGATATTTAATTTAGACCTGTACCCTGAAACGGTTTTTTTAACAGAACTAATTAACTAAAATAATTTATTGGTGAAGTTCTAATCAGAGGGTTATTTATATCGGGTGCCAGTTTCACACAACTGTCAAATGAGTTTTACTAGTATCTTCTTACCTTATCTATGCTACTATCATAGATAATAGGCTACTATCTATGGCGATGGTAATCTGAAACGTACATTAAAATTATTGTTATTGTGCAAGTGCTAGTTAATGTTAATTCATCAATTAGTTTGTGTAAACGATTAATTATTAATCAGTTAATCACGCTTTAATGCTGTTGTGGAATATTTGAAAATAAGCATGTCCCTTGTAGCATATGATGATAGTGAAAGTGATGAGGAAAAAACTCAGAATGCATATGAAGAAAAGACTTTAAAATCTAAACAAACAGTAAAAATCCCGATTCCCACCATTAATTACGATTCTGATGATGAACCTGTTAGTAAGAAGGTAAAAACAAACGATCAAAATAAAAAAAGTGGTCTTCTATCAATTCTGCCACCACCAAAAGTGCAACCAGGAAAGGTGATAACACTTATTCCTAATGTTGTTAAGAAGAAGTCAACAGTTATTTCAAATAAGCGTGCAAAAGAGACATTGAATACTAAGGAAAGTGTGAAAGAAACCAATAGTAGTAGTAGTAGTAGTAGTAGTAAAGTAGAAGAATCAGATGATTCTGATGATGAAGTTATTTCAAACTTTGATGAAGAATTGTGGCAAAAAATAAATGCTCAGTCCAAACGAAGAACTGCATTTACTTTACCTGCAAAACATACAGTTAATAGTGATTTATCCAATAATGCTGGAAGTATGGTCTCTGATATTGAGATTGCTCCCTCAGCAGAAAAACCTTATGAAGGTCTTGATAATGCTGCTTTCAAAGAATTAGTTGGAAGGGGTAAACAAAAAGCAATGGATGTAAACATCATTGATATACATGAAGATGAAATAAGGCCTGATAAAGCAGATTGGTTGAAATCATTGACAGACCCAAATTATGCTCCTAAGCAAGAGGTTGAAGACGAGGTGAATGATACATGTAAAAGAAAACATCATATTACTTACCTGGCTCAACAGGCTAAGGCTAATGAACTGGAATTACAAAATCAATGGGCACAAAATAGGTTTGCAAGAAAACAAACTCAAGCAAAATATGGATTTTAGTACTAATTTCTGTTATGTATATTTGTAGAAATTCGTATGAATTTGTGAATTATTTTGTAAGTACCTAAATAATATTTTTTCCTAATAAGAAAGTTGTTTATCATAGGGATGTTATTCCTAAAATTGGTTAGACATACACCTCCACTCTTTTAAAACTTGAACATCCCACATCTTTAAGTATTTGTGAATGGTAATCTAATCTGGGTCTATCTCTATGAAAAAAAATGTTTAACTTTATTTAAAAAATCATTTTCTAACACTATTTTACAGACGCAATGAATCTATAACTGTACATGATGTTTAATGGATTGGTTGTCATGTTATATTTGTAGGCCTTGGCTTTAAAATTAGCTTACCAGTATCATCACATGACATATTGAAATCAATTAAAACCTCTCTTGTTCTTGTTGTAATAATTGAAGCTGCTATGACTCTTTTGTGAACTCCCAGAAGAAAAATTATGACTACAATTGAATAGTTAAATTTTTCAATTAAATATATTTTAATATCACTTTACCTAAAATTACTGTTGCTAGAATAAAAAAAGGATGATTTGACAGCGACTGTGATAAAGGTACTACCCTAGTAACAGGATCCATTAACCATTGACCTGCCCCTGTAGCTACACACAAGGATACTACAAGAAGAACAACTGGAAAAGCATTATTTAAAGAACAATTAAAAACGATTAAAACTATTATATATTAATTACTTCTCCATCTTATCGTGGATGGTTGTAAACAAGCAATTACTTCGGTGAGGCGTCTTTCAAAGGCTTTTAAATCTGCAATAACATCTATTTTATAGGTTATGATTTTATTTTCTGTATTTTTCAGTCGAAATACCTTCGCATGCTGTCTGTTCTAACGACATTACGATTTTCTGTTTTCAACTACGACAAAAAAGATTAGAATTAGTTATTTTTTTGAAATATAGAAGCGACATTGGAAAAAAAAGTTACATCTATCAACTTATTAACCATCATAGACAAGTTAACTATTTTGACACACAATTATTTACAGTTACTAAAAAATCATAGAATAAATAACAGCATAGCAAATAAGTCTGCCTTTCAGTAGACAGAGTGGCTCTTGCATGATCCGACGGTGCGATCGTGTTTTTAGATTGTTTACCGCGCTTATTATTTTTAAACCGACGAGAAATTAAAAAAGGGGATATTAACTAACAAAAGCAGTAACAGCCACATCAAGGTCAATATTCATACAAATAAAAGGAAGTACATGACCACGATAATACTCACGAAGCGAGTTTTGTTTTTTCATACTATAACCTGATGATCCTAATAATTTAAGTTGCCGGTTATTGGCAGGATTAACTTTGAATGAATATATAAAGATCATTTTTAAGAAAAAAAGTAATTTTATCGATCAGGAATCGAACACGTGCACAAATGGGTCCATATGTTGTCTAGACGAGCTGTACAGGGTATCTAATTTTCGGTAGTTTTAATTATTTTTAATGATAGAGGGTTGCGGTTTTTGAAGCAGCGTGCGACTTTTTTGTGAATTAAAGATGGTACTAGCAGAATTTTCATATGCCTTTCGGATTTTAGGATGCAGGAAGCAATTGAAAAGAATCACATTTATCTTTAAATTTATCGAAGACGGTGCAACGTATTTTTATAGAATTATTTCCGTAGATCTAGTGATTTAGTCAGTTTTTTTCTAGCATCTTCCGTTTCTTAGTTATAAAGCAAACATACATTTTTTAAATGGAATATTTNTAAATGAAAGTAATAACCTATATTATAAGGGAACAATGCAAAGAAGTGTGCTTCCGGGACTAATGCGAGACAGTAGGGTATCCCGGTTATCCACGTGACATTCTATCGACCCAATTGTACACCTCCGACCTGCTGTCCTTTTTTATAAAGATGAAGTAAGTATATTTATCCATTACGTAATTTATATTTATGCTAATGGAAAGACTAACATCTACTGCAACAACACGAAACGTTGGTACTGCCATTTCTTATATTTGTTAAAAGAAAATTTTATGAATTACCATAACAATGAAAGGACTTTATGTATTTCATAACAAAAAATATAGGGGAATGAAAGCAGCTACTTCTATAATACTAGTAAACCACATTTTACAGTTATTGCATCATCTTAACTGTTAAAAACATAAAGATTAATATAAAGCGCTGGATCAGGAAAACACTAATCACTGATACACATATTCTTGATTAAAGTTAAAGTCGGTTGTATTTTTATAGACTCGTAGGAAGAAATTTGGGGCGCGAAATTAGAAACATCCCCATTAGCTATTACTGCAATTTTAAGTCACTTATTATTAATTGTGGTACAGATACCATACTGGTTTGCAAATAAATTTATCATTGAGCATTACAAATCTATATATAGCGTGTTCCTGAAATAAGTGACAAGCTTTGGAGGGTCTTAACTAGATGCGATTGGGGTTCGCATGGTAAAAATTTGAAAGAAAACCAATCCAAGTTGCAATGCGAAACTTGAGCGTGAACTGGCAACGTATAGAGAAATTGCGATACATCGATGAAAATTTTAAACAGTGATGATTGTGAAACGACTAATAAAGTAAACATCAGCAGCTTATTACTATTTACTACTACGTTACTACACATAATAATATTCAGACGCCCATCCGATAACAATTAATTAAATAAGTACACTTTATTCAACGCTGATAGTATGCAGTACCTACTATTTAAAGCACACGTCGATATGGCACTGAGAACAAAAAAAAAATAACGTTATGTAAACCACCATTGAGGTATTATTAAGGTGCGTTACCCTTTTTCTGGGAGGTCCGTCAACACTCAATATTATTATTCTCCCAATAGAAAAAAATTAATTACAGTATCAGTAACTACACGCATACACTACAAAATTTTTGTTTGAGTAGCGCAAAAACTTCCGGTATTTGACGTACTTCATTTGCACAGTTGTGCAAATCATTAGCGTTTTACAATGGCTTTTGATACACGCGCTGCTTCACATGATTCCATACAAAGAAATCAAACGGCTTTAGATCAGACGCGGCCATGGTACAGGATCCGTACGACCAATTGTTCGTCTAGAAACTCACGCATTAACAAATGTAATAATACTCTGCATTGACTTATGACACTGACACATTGACCTAGTTCTAATGACTTCGACTGTCTATCAGTCTACATTCGTAATACAGGCCTACAATATTAAAAAGCAAAAAAAAACTCGGTTGTAAATGTAAACATCATCATTTATACTTAGTCTAATCTAACGAATAACAAAAATACAAAAGAAATGCAATAAGGATGCTGGTGATTATCAATGCCGTATTTCCCTACCAGGGCTGGACGGACTTTTGGCTGTATTTTCAAATAGGTTTTTCTCGAAAACGGTGGACTTGAGGACTGCCAAACATTGACATAATTTTCTTGATTTATAGTGTTCTATCACTTCCTGCAAACTTGCTGCTTATTTCAGAAACACCCTGTATACAAAAGGGTAAACTGACAGATATATCAACGTTGAGCCCAAATCCCTGGGTCTTGGTTTGAAATTTTGCACAGACGTTCTCTAAGAAATAATTTTTTAACTTTTTACTTTATCAACATGTCGTCGACAAGGCATTGGGTAACTTTAAAGGAACAGAGGGTAATGATTACATTGACGATGTTTTAGTTCTGTGCTCTTCGAAGAGGGCTTTCAACGCCTTCAAAAAGTCTTACGAGCTTTAGCAACGTCAGCTTCTCGTTAAATTAGGCAAAATTCACATTCAGGAAATGGAATACCTAGGTACGTTAAACTGAAAAAATTTTGTTGTGCTCATATGATGTCATGTGAGGATGAAAATTGAAAAAAGTACTGACTGTACATTTTCACTAACAATTGGCTGGTTTTAACATAAATAGTTGACTTTTGTTAAGTCTAATAATGTCTTAAAAAGGAACGTACAAAAATTCAATCAAGAAAATTCCTTAATAGAAAAATAGAACTCATGAATTTCAACGAGAAAGGCAAACCATAAATAAAACCATTTTGATTTTGTTTGGGTAAAATTATTAAAGGGTTGCCACTTCCTCTATTTATCTTCTCACTAAAGGCATTTATATATAAGTGTAAATCTTCATTAACCCAACAAAAGCGAAGTAAATTATTTAAGTCAAAAATAGGTATCCTTTATGAGTAAAAAATTAAAGAAAAATGCATTTTGGAGGTAGTAAACAATCACAAACAGTCTAAAAAGGTTATTATTAATCTAAAAAAGAAGAAATGGTACATAAAAATATTAGCGTTAATATAATTTTTCAGGTACAAAAATAATTGAAAATAATACGAAAATATTCGAANTTCAATTTATTAGGTATTTTGGAAAAATAGTGATAACTGTTTAATTTAGAAGTATTTACCGGTAAATAAATTATAAAATATAAATGAAAGTAATAACCTATATTATAAGGGAACAATGCAAAGAAGTGTGCTTCCGGGACTAATGCGAGACAGTAGGGTATCCCGGTTATCCACGTGACATTCTATCGACCCAATTGTACACCTCCGACCTGCTGTCCTTTTTTATAAAGATGAAGTAAGTATATTTATCCATTACGTAATTTATATTTATGCTAATGGAAAGACTAACATCTACTGCAACAACACGAAACGTTGGTACTGCCATTTCTTATATTTGTTAAAAGAAAATTTTATGAATTACCATAACAATGAAAGGACTTTATGTATTTCATAACAAAAAATATAGGGGAATGAAAGCAGCTACTTCTATAATACTAGTAAACCACATTTTACAGTTATTGCATCATCTTAACTGTTAAAAACATAAAGATTAATATAAAGCGCTGGATCAGGAAAACACTAATCACTGATACACATATTCTTGATTAAAGTTAAAGTCGGTTGTATTTTTATAGACTCGTAGGAAGAAATTTGGGGCGCGAAATTAGAAACATCCCCATTAGCTATTACTGCAATTTTAAGTCACTTATTATTAATTGTGGTACAGATACCATACTGGTTTGCAAATAAATTTATCATTGAGCATTACAAATCTATATATAGCGTGTTCCTGAAATAAGTGACAAGCTTTGGAGGGTCTTAACTAGATGCGATTGGGGTTCGCATGGTAAAAATTTGAAAGAAAACCAATCCAAGTTGCAATGCGAAACTTGAGCGTGAACTGGCAACGTATAGAGAAATTGCGATACATCGATGAAAATTTTAAACAGTGATGATTGTGAAACGACTAATAAAGTAAACATCAGCAGCTTATTACTATTTACTACTACGTTACTACACATAATAATATTCAGACGCCCATCCGATAACAATTAATTAAATAAGTACACTTTATTCAACGCTGATAGTATGCAGTACCTACTATTTAAAGCACACGTCGATATGGCACTGAGAACAAAAAAAAAATAACGTTATGTAAACCACCATTGAGGTATTATTAAGGTGCGTTACCCTTTTTCTGGGAGGTCCGTCAACACTCAATATTATTATTCTCCCAATAGAAAAAAATTAATTACAGTATCAGTAACTACACGCATACACTACAAAATTTTTGTTTGAGTAGCGCAAAAACTTCCGGTATTTGACGTACTTCATTTGCACAGTTGTGCAAATCATTAGCGTTTTACAATGGCTTTTGATACACGCGCTGCTTCACATGATTCCATACAAAGAAATCAAACGGCTTTAGATCAGACGCGGCCATGGTACAGGATCCGTACGACCAATTGTTCGTCTAGAAACTCACGCATTAACAAATGTAATAATACTCTGCATTGACTTATGACACTGACACATTGACCTAGTTCTAATGACTTCGACTGTCTATCAGTCTACATTCGTAATACAGGCCTACAATATTAAAAAGCAAAAAAAAACTCGGTTGTAAATGTAAACATCATCATTTATACTTAGTCTAATCTAACGAATAACAAAAATACAAAAGAAATGCAATAAGGATGCTGGTGATTATCAATGCCGTATTTCCCTACCAGGGCTGGACGGACT